GGTCACCAAGAGTCCTTCCATCGCTACTGAGACAATTGGGCGGACATCTTCCTGGATCTCTGAGTGGACGCCCTTCGGTCTGGTCGCCTCCTACTACGTCTTCTCGGTATGCCTCTACATGTACTGCAGCAACGGGCTGATCGCCATCTTCTGGTTCATTTACATGTGCACCAACTTCTACATCGCCGGCACGACTGTCTTGGAGGCCTTCTTCAGTATCACGCCCTGCCGCGAGGCAAGAGCAATCGTCACGCAAGCGCAGGAGAAGCAGTGGCTGTTCCCTACGCCACACCACAAGCTACCCATTCTGGATCTTCTCATCGTCGCCTACCTACCCAATGAGCAGGACATCATCATGGACCGCGCTCTTTATGCGCTTGAACAGCTCGATTACCCTTCTGACAAGATCCGCATCGTCGTCCTCTACAACACCCCCAAGCCAATCGAGCCATTGGAGACTGAGCTGCACCAACTTCCTCTGCGCTTCCCCCATGCAAGAGTCATCAAGGTACCCAACTCGACTTCCAAGGCAGACAACCTCAACTACTACTTCACGCTGGACACTGGATCTGACATCATCGCCATCTACGATTGCGACCACTACCCTCACCCCAACTCACCCCGATGGGCCGCTGAACGATTCGTTGCCGAGAAGGATGTCGACATCGTCCAAGGCCGCTGCATCATCTTCAACTCCGACGACAGCTTCATGACCAACATGATCGCAGTCGAGTTCGACAAGATTTACGCTGTCTCTCATCCCGGTCGTTCTACTATGTGGGGATTTGGTCTCTTCTGTGGATCCAACGGTTACTGGCGCACATCGCTTCTTCGCAATCTGAAGATGGACGACACAATGCTTACTGAAGACATCGACTCTGCACTTCGCGCATTCTCCAAAGGTGCCAAGACCGTTCATGATCTCAACGTGACTTCCTACGAGCTGGCCCCCACAACCTTCAGCGCGTTCTGGAAGCAACGTCTCCGGTGGGCCCAGGGCTGGGCTCAAGCGAGTATGCGACACATGAAGATGGTTTGGAATGGTGTCAAGGATCCGTTGCACGAAGAGCACGCCAAGCGCAGCTTCACTGCTCGCTTCGGTGTTTTGTCGCTATTACTCATCCGCGAGTCCTCGTACTATCTCGTCACACAGTACACGTGTTTGGTCGCATCATTCGTTATCGTCAAGTTCCCGACGTCCGGGGAGGAGCTCTGGAAGCTGGTCTATTTCCAGTACCCTGTGTCACAGTGGCTTTTCATTATCAGGTTCGTACAGCCCTCGACGTAATCTTGTACCATGCTAACGGTGTCGTGTCACAGTATTGTCTGCTTGATTGCTACTCTTTGGATCACCAACCAGGTCAAATCCGAGTACATCTCCAGAAGGATGATCATCCTCTTCTCGGTTCTGTACCCGTTTTACCTGGTTCTCAACGCCACAATCGGTCTTTACGGCCACGCTCGCCAGCTTGTCAAGTACAGCTCCTGGAACCCAACCGCTAGGAAGTAGGGCCATATCATATTATCTTCTTAATTTTCTTTATTGTCAATATCATAGGGAAGGGGCACAAGGCTTTGGATGCTCTCGTTTAGTTCGGGATGAAGCTCGCAAGCCATTAGCGGCGGCTGAGGCTTTCATGAATCACGCATCAGTATATAATACCCGATTAATTACATCATAATCACTATTTCTACAAATCGTTTCTGCACATCTTGTCATGATGACCGTTGTTGCAAATAAGGTTCTTCGAGAAATGATGCGCTCTTCTCATTTACCAATGATCATTGTCCATCGATTGACTCTGTTGTCCTGGCTCCTGAGTGGTCAACATGTGAAACTCGATCTATGAGATAACGCGCGGCATCACAGCGGAATGCAGAGCATCAGCCTTATCCCGGGCGACTCACGTCGGCGATACGATTTCCGATCTGCCACGCACAGTCTATCACGGAAGGTAAACTCAGAGATAAGTAAAATCCTAGCATGAAGCAGGGCCGAAGGGCAGCGCCTTACTGAAACGGACCCTGCACCCTGATGCGTTGCCAGAAAGCATCGGCCCAGCGACATGAAAAAGGAAATAATCAACAGCACCAGGGGTGGCCGGGACATTACAAGTCGACTATGCGGGCGATCGACACGCGCTCGCTAGCGCGTAGATCCACTTCGCAAGTGTGCGTTCCCTAGGCCGCGTGGGATGCTACCTACCACACTACACCTGGCGGGTAGCACAGCATCGTAGGCCGGCGGAACCATCCGCAAACTTGCTAGAAAAATTCGACACGGCGTTATCTTCGGTGAGTAAGATCTGTTTCAGCGGGCTTTTGCTCTCCGGGACGCGGACCTTCCTTTTTTGGTGTGAGCACACGAGTCAGCCCCTCGGATTTTGGAAAACGTGCGGATTTCACGACCCTTCGTGGCCTATCGCACGGATGTTCGGTATGAAAATCAATGTGCACGGACGGCCGCAGTCGACATGGCGGTCACTGACAGGTGTAGATGCCCAAGTAGGGCTGCCCCATGCGCCACACGTGGAAGGTTCTGAGGAAGGCCGTTGCCCGGCGGCACCTGGGTGTTGAGAGATCAGGGTGCTTTTCATCGAGCACGTCACGACGTGCGTCTGGGATGTGTATGTTGAAGACGGCAACGTTACAAGTCGGCAGGCCGACATTTCAACATCCGAGATCAAGATAACGATCAACAGCCGCCCGCTTCGTGTAAGTGGTCCGGATGCCAGAAATGCGAACTATTGTATGCCGCCAAAGTTACCCGCTGCCAGCCTCAACTAGGGTCAACGCTTATCGAACAACTGCTCAGCGGGACGTAGAGAACGCCACAAAAAGCATAGCTGACCCTTGGCATGCATGCGCCTGAATTGTGCTCGGAAGCTTGCGTTGCAACTAAGCTCAACGCTTCCCGTGCTCGGTAGGCAGATGCTGTGCTAGTCACGGAAAGAAAAGTCGCCTTCAGGTACGTGGTCGTTCTGGTGGCCAAGGTGCTGATCTCGGGTCTCCCACGGGGGGTCTTTGGTACGGGACGTGGTGCTACTGCCGCAAGTAGTCGCCAAGGGTCGTGCTGGTTTTGTTGTCTGTGTGGAATCAGAAGTCGAGGGTAAATTGCCTTGTTTGTAAGCTGCTCTTCCTCTTTATCACCGAGATCCTCATCTTTACCGCGGTATCGAACAAGATGTCTGCAACAATGGAGCCTACCCTTTCATCCAAACTCAAGGCTATCTTCCCCTCGTCGTCGGCCGAGCAAGGAACGACAATCCTGTCGGCTGACCAGAACTACCTCATTGGGCTTCGTGGCCTGTTTGTATTCCAATCATTCCTCTACGTGTTCTTCCAAACCTTTCTTCCAGCCGCCCTTCCAGACTCGAAGAATGTTGATGGCCCGGCGTACCAGGTCGCACTTCGAAAGTCATTTTCAGTAATCTTCGCCAACGAGGCATTGATCTACTCATGGATTATCTTCCTCTCCGCGCGCACCATTTGCTTACCTTACCTCGCCAACAAGACGCGTGAGGTCGGCGCATCGAGTGTCTTCCGTCGTGGCATCAGACTATGGATTCCGACCTTCATCGCCTACTCTTTTGCAGCAGCGGCATTCAGCACAACCTCGACCGACTACATCTCCGACTTCTTGGCCTCTACTGGCAACATCTCCACCATCGCACCGACGCGGATCCAGAACTTCTTGATTTACTTCAACTCCCTTTTCGAGATCTTCTGGGTCAACAAGCGTTACGCTAGTCAGGCCGCCAACGATGTCTTCCCATCTGGTACGCTTTGGATAGTGTCCGTGCTCTTCCAGCAAAGTTATACCGTCTACATCACCATGGTCATTGTTCCGAATACGCGCACCTCATGGCGAGTAAAGGCCATGCTAGCTTTCATCGTAGCAGCGTTCTGGGTACAGAGCTGGGCTTGGTACAGCGTCACCGGCCTAATCATTGCTGATGCGGTCCTCAACATGGATTTCAAGGCCCGGTCCCAACGAGGATTTAAGATCGGCAACTTCGGTATCCCAGTCTGGCCACTTTACGCTGCGATGGTCCTTACCGGTGTTGTGCTGCAGTTCGCCTTCATCTCCGGAAAACCAGACATGCGCGACAATGAGCTATGGGGTCACACCGCGCTGTACGATGACGGATTCTTGAACGAGAACGTAGATCTAGACCAGCCGATGGCGAGGGTTGACAACTACCTCATCATCCTTGGGTCGATGCTTCTGATTGAGACGTTCGAATTGCCCCGGGCTATCCTTCGCGGAGGCTTCTTCGTTTCGCTAGGCAAGAGGAGCTTCAGTAAGTCGCAACTCTTCGACAAAGTCATGGAACAATTACTTACACATCCCAGGCTACTTCCTCGTCCAATCCATACTCATCTACACCGCCGGTATCAAATTATACATGCACATGGCCGACGCCGGCATGAACGGTTCTTTGAGCACTTTCGTCTGCTTCTTGGTCTGCGCACCGCTGGTCGCTATAATTGGAGAGATTTTCTACCGTGTTGTTGATTTGCCGAGCATTATTCTGGCTAGAGGATTTTGGGCGTTCATGACGAAATAGGTGGCGGCAACGGCGCGCTACCGGCACGTGGTTCGGGCCATCGTCAGCCACATTTCTTGACATCTCGGTTACCAACCGCGCAGCTTGTCTCCTCATTCGCACTGCTCGGGGAAACATTATCCGTCACATCGCCCTTGCACAAGACATTTGGCGAGAAGCTCACTGGTCGACAAGCCTTTCTCCATAGCTCGGCATGCTCTTTGGAGACATCCCCGCAGCATTGGTGATCCTTCGAAACTTCCCCGCAATGTGGAGAGACTTTAGCCTATGAACATTGGTTCGGGAAGATGTACAGTTGCTTGGACGTGGGCGTTACACTAGCTAGATCCTTCGGTGTTGTTAATCTGTATTCCATTTTCTGTTCGCATTCTCCTCCTGTTGCTGCCGTGAAAGCGCGTTCTACTGTGACTAGTCTGCTAACCAGCCACAATGGATAAGCCCAAGGAAACAGACACTGAACGCATCGAAAAGGCGATCACAATCGATGAGACGATCGACACAGCCCTGGACAAGCGTCTGAATCGCAAATTTGACTTTCGTATTCTGCCTTGGTTGTTCGGGATATGGTATTCTGCCATCCCACACTATTCTAAAGCCCATGCTGAGTGAGAATTCTAGGCTCTTCTCGTTCATAGACCGCAGCAACATCGGCAACGCAAGAATAGCCGGCCTGTCCGATGAACTTTCCATCACAACTGGTACACGGTTTAACATCGCCCTCCTCGTCTTCTACATCCCGTACATCCTGGTCGACGTACCGTCTAACCTACTCGTTAAGCGTTTGCGCGCCGGGATATACCTACCAGCTCTGATCACGGCATGGGGTCTAGTGTGTACGTTCATGGGCTTCGTGCAGTCATTTGCAGGGCTGGTGGCATGTAGACTGTTGCTGGGATTATGTGAAGGAGGCATTCTCGGTGGCGTGATCATCTACCTTGCGATGTTCTATAGGCGAGGCGAGATGCTGCTGAGAAGCGGTCTCTTTTATTGCGCCGCGCCTCTATCGGGGGCTTTTGGTGGGCTACTCGCTTCGGGACTGGCAACCATCGAGGTTGGGGGGTATCGAAGATGGCCCTGGATCTTCTTTAGTAAGTTCTCGCTAATGTTTCACGTAGTGGAGGTGTTGCGCTGACATGATCTCAGTTGAGGGCGCAATCACTGTTGTGTTCGGCATCGTATGCTTCTTCTTCATGCCGGATACCCCTGCCGCAGCAGCATTCTTGAGTGACGAAGAAAAGGAGTGGGCATTGCGACGCATGCGACTTGATGCAGGAGGATCCACCGAAGTTGATGTCGACGATGAGAAGTTCAGTTGGTATTGGGTCAAGATGGCACTCAAAGCCCCGCAGACGTACCTTTCTGCTTTCATCTGGTTCTTCTTGTTGGTGCCGCTCTATGTAAGCTTTTTCCGGATCTCAAATGCCGGAGACTATGCTAAAGCTTAACAGAGCTTTTCGCTGTTCCTTCCTAGTATCATTGCCGGCATGGGCTATCAAAGCACCACCGCGCAGCTCTTTACGGTACCACCTAACATGGCTGCTTTCATCACGGTAATTGGCACGGCGTACGCCTCCGACAAGTTGAAGAATCGCGGTTATTTCATCATAGGAGGCTGCGTGATAGGCATATGCGGTTACGTTATGTTGATAGTGGCGACGACGAATGCCGTGCGGTACGCCGGGACGTTCCTGGTCGCGATTGGTGTCTTTCAGGGTTCGCCCATGCTCATGGTAAGCTTCGCCTGCTCACCAAAATGCTTACTTTACTCATCCGTCATCAGGGATGGGCATCCAACAATCTTGCGCCTCACTATGTCCGCGCAGTCGGAATTGGTATGGTAATCAGCATCGCCAATTGCTCGGCATTCATCGGCACGTTTATCTATCTTCAGCGTGATGCGCCGAAATATGTTCTAGGCCATTCTGTAAGCCTTGGTGCATTGGTAGTAACGATCGTACTCGCCGCCATACAGTGCTGGTACCTAGGTTGGGAAAACAGAAAGCGAGAGAGAGGTGAACGCGACGATAGACTCCTGCGAGCGGATGCGGATAGACTTGGCCATCAGCACCCTAGTTTCAGATTCACGTTGTAGCCGAGAGGAAGTGGTAGCCAAAAAAAGCCTTGGTGATGGTCCAGGGTGGGAGCTGATACGAATACTACATTAGTACGTCATCTGACAGACAAACGTGGAGAAGTCTGCCGCCTAAGACATTGTGACAGAGCAGAGTGCGCTACCCCTGAGTCACTTGGCTTTCTTGTTGTCTCTTCCCCCAATCATGCCCTTTTGCTTCGTAGTGTTTTTCTTCCATGGTGTCAGACTGCCGCCTCCAGCCACCCAGCCGATTGCCATAACGATCAACGTGAATGGCACGGCCGTTAGGAAGTACCAACCATACGTCGTCTTCAATGCTGAAACACTCTCATTCATGCTATACAGCCCAGATATAAACGTCAACGGGATGAAGATGGTCGCCAGCCATGTTATCCTCGCCATGTTATGGTTCTCCTCGAGCCCGCGACGCGAATCTTCGATGGATATCTCCGATGTAACAATACTAGTGAGGCGGTCGACTCGCTCCTGCAGTTCATTGACAGCGGCAAGGACGCGTTTGAAGTCAGGCACTATGTCCTCGAATCCTTCTACGTTGTCGTAATTTATAGTCAGATTGTCGGAAAAGAGCGAGCGTACGGAGAGAGGTGATGTGGGCGCAACGGAGGACTGAGTAGACGGGGTAGTAAGCCGCGCTGCAACCGGAAGCGCATGTTCCAACGTCTCCGTTATCATCTCCCGAAACACTGGGATCTGCCGACGCCAGGTATGCAGACGCTTGAGCGAAGTGTCAATGGCATCACCTTTCGAGCGGAAGAGGCGTGGCATCTCGAGTTCCCACTCTATCTGGCTGAGACGAGCTCTTACATAGTCGCACACTATGAGCCACTCTGCGCAGATGGTGTATATAGTTGGTTTGGCGAGGACTTGCGCGTTAATCTCATTTCCGTCTTTCCGCTCAAACCACGGGAAGGCAGTCGTCATTTGGACAATGTCTTCGAACCAGGATACTGAAGACTTGATTGAGGGGTAAACTTTGGTGTCCATCTTCGGTGTTGGCAACCAATTACTGCGATCATACCCTTTACAGTGTCAGTCAATTCAGTACCTCAGCTACTGTCATTTTGTTGGTACTTACAGAGTGGCCGGCCTTGGCTAACAGTTGGATCTAGCAAGACGATACCGACGGTTCCATTACCACACTTCTTGTCCTTGCCGATCCACATGGATGTACGCGTGCGCATAATGGACACGACTGCTCCCTTTCCATCTTGGTAATGCCAATGGTTCTCATCGTTATCAGGCCGTCTGAGCACGTTCCAAGAGTTTGCTTCCAGCCTCGAGTTGAAGTAGTCCTCTTCTGTTTTGTGGTATCGTAACCTCATATTGCGCATCCTGAACCAGGGCCGATGCCTCATGCTTGAGACTAGGCTGGGTGGTGACGCCCAGGGGTCACGAGTGTTGTGCCACACGTAGTCATCGATCTGCTCTCGAAAGAACAATGGATCTATATCGAAACGCGCTCCCAGCAGCTCAATGACTTGTCGAGACAGGTCTTCTACTATAAAGAGGCGCAGGGGAGGTTCTTTCGTATGCTCAAGCGACAGAGCTTGAAGAGTTTCTTGAAGCAAAGCAGGCGATTTAATCGCTGTAGCTTTTGGTGCAGTGGCAGGACGATACTCGACGAAGGTGACGTTTGTCTTATTCGCACGGGTTTCGCGTTCCTCTGGGTGCTCTTTGATCTCATTCCAGCGTAGTGGGGTAGTGCTAACCTGCATCCAGTCCGCTAGATGTCGTAAAGTCCTCCACGAAGTCGACAGCGATTTGATGTGCGCCAAATACGGCCGGCTCTTGCTGTTGCTGCATTACGTGAGTCTTGACCTGGAAGACTGTCAATGCTGTGAACTTACGGGTCCGGCAATTCCCACTCGTCTGCGACTGGTATCCTCTCGTATGCATCTCCAATCAATTCATATGGGTCAGGGAAGTCTGCACTGTGCGGAATATGTTTCGCAGACCAAAGTGCGGGGATCGTGCCTCTCTTGGAGGGTTTGCCATTGCTGTTGTCGGAGTAAGTAGACATGGTTGCTACCTAGGTACGGACACTGACAACGCGCAACCATGCCAGAGCGGGTGGCGAGATGGATTTATAGATGGACAGGCTGCAAGGCGATGTTGGGGGCTGAGGGCTGAGAAGGCTGAGACTCAAGCGCGACGATCTCTAGTTGCATCAGGGGGCTCGTACATACGCGAGGTTTCCAGCTATGTACACCCGCGCGCCTGTATGCGGGTGTGGAGAGCTAACAGATATGCCAGGCGGTCCATAATCTCTCTGCAGTCTTGATCGAGTAGATCAAGACGCGTCAAGAAGTCGTAGGGATATCGCGTTGGCTGAATCCTCGAATTTGGCGCGCCGTCAGCTGAAACGTGCAATGTCCAATTTGGGCTAGACGTGAAGTTGGGTCCGACAGCTGCAGACAGCAACAGGGCTAAGCAAGTCACGCGTCTAATGCCAGCTCACATTGGACCTTTCCAGAGATGACTGCATTACGCGACAGGCTACTGCGTTGTCGGAATATCGTTGGACTGTGTGGTATGCGCCTGGGGTTGTGATGTTGACTGCTGCTGTCACGAAAGTTGAAGATGGAATGACTCCACGGGAGTGGTTCCACCGCAGCAGCGCCGCCTGCCATTTCGGTCTCCGGTCATTTCATTCCTCAAGAAACCAACACCCTATATCAGAGCAACCCTTTCAGTTCATCACACGGCATTGCCCCACGTGAAAGGCTATAATGGGGCGTTTCTGTGCTTACTCGCGTACGCGACGTCAGGATCAAATGTGGAGAGAACGCGGGGCGCGCAGTACACCTCGGAAGCCCCCAAGGGCCACAGAAACGCAACATTGGCGGGACACTTTTGCGTAGTCGCGCCCATGTCTCGATATCTTGCAGGAAATCATTAGTACTCTGCAAAACCTTTTCATTGGAATCTCGATATGACATACGGCATCTTCAAACCTCACTGGTCCAGATACCTAGGCCCTGACGCTCCCGATCCTGCCAAAGACACCTATCGACCTCACGATGAGGCTGTATTCTCGTCGCCATTTGGACCCTTTCCACCGACACCGGATGATCTCAACATTCACGAACTCTGCTTTCCGCCGAACAATCCATTACCCGAAGATTACCCTCTATTCATCAATGCTATAACAGAAGAGGTCGTCACACTCCACAGCTTCTATGCTCGAGTATGTGCATTGGCGCGTGTCTTCCGGTATGACGGACCAAATCCATTGGGTTTAGACAAGAGTCCCATAGACGACAAGGAAGATGGCGAGATCCTAGCGTTATTCTCGCGAAACCACCTGCATTATCCGATGGTAGCGCACGCATGCTTTCGATCAGAATTGGTCTTCGGGGGTATCAGTCCGGCAAGTACACCGTATGAGCTTTGGTGGGTGCTCAGGAAGATGCAAATTACCAGCATCATGTGCCATGAGACACTACTTCCAGTCTTGAGAGAGGCGCTCAAGCTAGGAACCGGTGAATTCGATGATTTGCCACTCAAGCTCAAGTTGAATCCCAACAAAGTCATCGTGCTTAGCGACAATTCTCAACTAGATACCGTGTCGGGATATCGTACGATCGAGTCGCTCGTGAGGGAGGGTTCAAAGCTGCCGGAGCAGCCGCGGAAGCTGCTTGGGGGAAACCGAATGGCATATCTATTCCAGTCTTCAGGAACTTCGGGTCTACCAAAGGCAATGATGATCACACACAGTAATGGTTACCACTCGGGAATACAGACGCTTATCACTGCCACGCAGGCCGCGCGCTTTGCAGGAGACGAACCGTTGACACCCGTTACTATGCTCGGCGTCATACCAATGTACCACTCATACGGTATGATCATCTGGATCCTTCGCGTCAATATGATCAGACAGACGAGCATCATGCTGCCGAAATGGAACCTTGAGCTCGCATTGAAAAGCATACAAAAGTACAAGATCACACATCTTCCACTGGTACCACCTCTAGTTCGCCAACTCGCCCAGAGCCCATTGACTGAGAAATACGACCTGAGCTCTGTGATCGGCGCGTCAAGCGGCGCTGCATATCTGCCACCAGATGTCGCATACCAACTGGCCAAGAAGCTGCCTCAAGGAGCGGGGATGCCGGTGCCAAGTGGTTATGGTCTGAGCGAAGCAGCCAGTATCGCAAGTCCGGCAGCGCATGGCATATTTGGATTGGAGCCTGCACTACCCGCCATGATCGGTTATCTGCTACCGGGTATGCAGGCTCGGGTTGTAGACCCTGAGACACTCAACAACGTGCCCAAAGGCGAGAAGGGCGAGCTCTGGGCACGCGGAGCAGTCGTTACCCCTGGATACTTCAGGGACCCGAAAGCCACTGCGGACATCTTCACTGAGCCTGGCTGGTTACGCACTGGCGATCTTGTGATGCGCGACGAGCGTGACCGTATCCACTATCTCGATCGCCTGAAGGAGATGATTAAAGTCAAAGGTCTGCAGGTCGCCGCTACGGAGGTTGAAGATACGCTGCTTGACCATCCAGAAGGTCTGGTGCGTGATGCGTGCGTAGCGGGCGTTGATAACGGCCGCGGCGATGGCTCTCTGTTCGTCCGGGCGTGGATCGTGCTGACCACTGAGGGCCAGAAGCAAGGAGAAGAGGCTGTCTCAAAGAAGCTGCATCAGTGGATCGAGGGACGTCTGAGCCGACACAAGTGGCTGACTGGTGGCATTGAGGTTGTGGATTCGGTGAGTACTCACCCAACGTGAGCTGCTGGTGTTAACGACTTTTCCAGATTCCCAGAACCCCCTCGGGTAAGATGCTGAGAAGAGAGATGCGGGACCGATATCATGAAAGCGTGAAGAACAGTAGCAAGGCGAAGCTGTAATTGTCAGCATGGATCGACCAGCCTGTGGCTTTGCTATGGACATCAAGACCTATGAGCTCGTCTTCAGATCCAATTAAAGCGTCCAATGGTAGGTATGGTCTTTGTGCACACGCGCTAATCGCATGGCTACTGAATGCGATCGTGGAGTATAGCCATGACATTCTTTTCGACACGGGTATCGTCTCTGCGTCTATGATTACTGCTTTGATAGCTGTGCTGGTGGAGGTTGGGAGGCTTGGCATCAGCTCTGGCGAGACGCGTCCACGAGTCCGTCCAACATACACGCCCACTCCTTACTCATCAACTCCCCAACACACGGCAATCGCATCTTAAGTCCGCCACATGTCGCGACGCGGGCCGTCTGCTCCTTTAGGCACCGGCAAGACGATGGAGGGGCAAGAGTGGGGTTGAGATGCGGCGCTTTGCCCGAAGTTCGGTGGGCGTCATGACGTTGGAGCTCTGCAGCTCCAGCTACAAAGTCAATCGCCTGATGCCGCCAAGTGCTTCTCGTCGTTGAACCCAAAATCTCACCTTCAACTTACCAAGAGACTACGACAACGTCTATCTACACCATGTCGTCACCAAAGACCGTCCGCTGGGGCATCCTCGCGACTGGAGGCATCGCCGTCACCTTGTAACTACCCCGCGCTACACCCCGCGGAAGCTGTTTACTAATAGACAGACAGTACCAAGGATCTCCTCTGCGACCCTACTACACGTGGCGTCAAGCACCTAAAGCACACGGTCGTCGCTGCCGCCTCCTCGTCCTCCGAATCGCGCGCCAAAGACTTCTTGAAGGAGGTCGGCGCACCCTCCGACGCGAAGGCATATGGCTCCTACGAGGAGTTCGTAAAGAACCCGGACATCGACGTCGTATACATTGCCACACCACACTCGCACCACTACCAGAATGCTATGCTCTGCTTGGAGGCCGGCAAGAACGTGCTGTGCGAGAAGGCGTTTACTGTCAATGCCGCCCAGGCGCGCAAGCTGGCTGAGGTCGCAAGGTCCAAGAACCTCTTCTTGATGGAGGCTGTATGGACGCGCTACTTCCCGCTCTCCATCTATGTCCGCGAGCAAATCACGTCTGGACGCATCGGACCCATCACACGCGTCATCTCGGACAACAGCATGGCGCTCGACCCCGAGAACAACTTCCCAGACGGCAAGCACCGCATGGTCAACCCTGATTTGGCTGGTGGCGCCCTGCTTGACCTCGGTATCTATGCCCTTACCTGGGTCTTCCAGACCATCTACCACACCCAGCCCGAGAACTCGCGGCAGGCACCCAAGCTCCAGGCTTTTGTCAAGAACTACGAGCCAACTGGCAAGGCCGACGAGCACAGCACCGTGATCCTGCAATTCCCCCGTTCAAAAGAGCAAGGCGGCGAGGTTCATGCCGTAGCGACAACCTCGCTCCGCGTCGCCACAGCGCCCGGAGGCAACATGGACCAACCCTTCGTCCGCATCCAAGGCCCCAAGGGCGAGATCCAAGTCTTCGGGCACTCCTTCCGTCCCCTCTCCACCAAGATCATCGGTTCAGACGGCAAGGTTGAGTCAAAAGAATTCCCCATTCCGGGCCCAGGTAAGGGAAGCGGTTGGTACAATGGCTTCGGTGGCTCACTGCAATCAGAAGGCGAGGGCCAGGGTATGTTCTGGGAAGCCGACGAGGCGGCAGATGCTATCATCAACGGCAGAAAAGAGGGTCGCTTCCTTGGCCTTGACGAGAGTGTGTTGATTATGGAGGCTATGGATGAGGTGCGGAAGCAGGGTGGGCTTGTGTACCCAGAGAAGATTGAGACTCTCGACTACCCTACGCAGTTGTAGGTCTAGCTCTATGAGTGATGGCTGGAGAAGTATGCTATGAAAGAAATGTAATAGATGTCAGGCAGTCACTGACACTGACCCAATTTCGCCGATCCCTGTGCTCCGTGACAGCTGTCGATACTTCTTCGTGATAGAGCGCGTCTCAAAGAAGTGTGTGAATTCAAGTGCAATCGCGACAATGGTCCAAGGGCTCATTACGTGAAAGTCTCTCAATATGGCTGCGAAAAGGATGTATGAGCAAACATGTAGGTAGACAACCCAAAAAGATATGTCAAACAGTGGATATGTGGCGGTGGATTCCTTAACGAAGTGTGAGACGTCTGCCCTGGGAAAGTGTTGGATCGGAGGAATGAATCAGCCTGCGTTCCCTCTCCAAGCGGCGCCCGTTTCCAGGATAGTGTTGTCTCAACAAACGATCCACCTGGCCGGAGGCTTCTAGATAAACAACCCACCAACATGTTGAGTAGAAGTATACTAATCCCACGTCCACTCGTTCATTGATGTGGACACATGGTGGCGGACGTCATACACGGGTAGATACCTCCGCTGAGGGTTATGGTTCCGCCGGCGAAGGAGACATGTCGCCATGATCGCAGCTCACGATCGCTCTTTTGGATCAGCAGAGATGGTAGAGCCGACACGAACGGGTGCGAAGGCTCATGGCTCTTAAACCCAAGAAGCAATTGAAGCATCGTCGTAGAAGTTTCCCAAGAGCAACCGCAGGTATCAGCGTCGTGTATGGTGTAGCGAACCTGTTGAGACGTTTGAGCTTTCTCGGAGATGGACATATGGATGGTGGGTTGGATAGCGGCGCTATAATAGTCCGGTTCATACGATAATGAACGAGAATCCATCCATTGTCACACCGTCTGCCCAAATTTGACCTGTTCTGCAAACTCTCGATGACGTGGTTACATCGAGGGATGTAATGCTCGTCGCGAGGCTTGCAGCACAGTGTCGTAGCGTCTTGTTGTCATGCCATCGAGTGCACCTCAAGCTTTGATCATGACTTTGATCTTTATCTCGTTGACATGGGTGTTGGGATCCAACTACGGCCTCAGGGTTGGGGGCTGGTCTCCTCTGTCGAGCCGTTGGGTATCTCTTATCGGTCAGGCAGTCGACTCCCGACCGGCCTGAATTGTCCCTTTGACGAGCTTGCGGCTTCTGCCTGAGGCACAACTTTCGTCTGGCCATCCACGAATCCTTTGTGGCTGTCTTCCGGATGCAGGGGCTGATTGGTATAAGGGCGCGCAGCAGGTTCGTGTGCTTAGCTATTGCTTGAGATGTCGAATTTCTCTCTTAGTTTTGGTAGTTGGAGAGATAGCGCGATTCGAACGTCCAACCAAGAGAACGTGATCAGAAGCATCGAGGGGTTAGAGATAGTTAGTTAAGCTAAGCAGAATAACGGCACTAGCTGGGTCGAAGTTTGTCGACAATTATTGCGTTTAAATATCTAATTTATGTTTCTGCAGACAGCATTAAACCACTGCTGCTTTCATGGCTGATCTAAAATGCCCATGTGAATTTGGTGGAAGGATGGGTTGTTTGACGAGGGTGTGCGTGTGATGGTCGTACAAGATGTGCAGCTGCCGATGGACATGCATGAGCGTGCATGTACGCGACGGTGTTGCGAAAACGACGTGTGTGTTGGATTTGAAAGTATCAGCGTCCAACCATATATCGTTCCGTATCCGCTGAAGGGGTTGACTTTGCCATCTTTCAGGCTTTGTCCCACTTCCACTCCCGCTGCCGTTCAGTTTGGGGAATTTCGTATGACCTTTCGCCACATTTCCGGGCTGTTCTTTGCTAACGCTTTGCCATGTGCTTCCATCTCTTTACATTCTCGGCCACTTTTACCATACCATTATTGAGCCTTGACAGAGTGTCGGACGACTGCGGGTCTGCCGATACCTCGAAGTAATACTTTTCGGGACACAGGCAACGACAAGGTCAGGAAGAGCACCGCAGATGTAGACGTGGGATTGCGAAGTGTTCAAGCGTTGCATCAAGCCGACAGACAAGCGTCGCCTCGACACTGTGATGATGATGTCGCTACCATATCAGGTGTTGCAGACGAGTATGCATCTGCGCCTGTCATTTCATGTCCCATTCATGGTGCTTTGCGATGCGCGAATGGCAGTTTTCATGCTCCTGGCTTCTTGGTCGTACGACGCAATGCGTTTGTCTGTTTTCCATCAAACATCACCGGGGCCCAATGTTCTGCCAACATTCGGTCAAGACCGTCTGCCATGCCGTGCACCAAGTTGAGCATGCCCACAGTTGACAGACTTCGGTTGCTCAAAACATCGAGAGTGACGAGGACGACGAACTGTGCGGCGCAAATGACCAGATCGTGCTGTTGCGATTTGGCTGTCCAGTTTCAAAGAACCAAAGTGCGCTCTGGATCTCGTTACGAATCGTCGCCGTTATAGCATCCTTGTTGTATAGGGCTCCTGAGATCGGAATCAGAAATCGAGCCAAGAGTGCGCCTCGGCCCGCAATGAGCGCAATCCATCGTGCATAACCAGTGATGGCGCCATGCACGATTGAGGCGTGGTCGATTCGCTTGTCGGGCAAACGAGATCAACTTCAGCCCATGGAAGCTCGAACACAAATATTCCCATTCAGCGGCGCGACACTCCTCTCGCCTCAACACCGTGAAAAACAGTCTGCAGTCTGCGTGAGAGTCTGACGGTGCATCGATTGTCATTGTGATCGCTCGCGACTTTCCAGAGTATGCCAAAAAGCTAGGAGTTTGAGTCTGCAGGATGCAAGGTGGAAAGAGGCTGCGCTATGGTTTGATGAATGATCTGAGAAAGGGACATCCGTACGCGACGTTGACACATCGCCTGGCAAGGAGTCCAGTGAGGTGAGTGTGCAAGACTGGAAGAGGCGGTGCTACAGCGATGACGCAGGGATACAAGAAGGATGTCTACACTGCACATGTCAGCCAAATACCCGTTATATGTCCTTCGAGGCCTGATATCTTTTAACCTGCCTGTTGTTCGCGTACAATCACCAGGTTCGGCAGTGGCTTCTTTGGGGTCTGACGTCATTGCCACCACGATCGCAGGCACCACGACGACAATCCTTCGTCTTACCTTTCGTGCTCATTCGCGCCTATGCCAACGCGTACGGGAAAGTCTGTGCCAGCGTGGGGACCTTATTTCGTA